AAGGCCTGATGTGATTGTCTAAGTGTAGAGAAAGACTATTATATAGTTACCTGAGGTTTCGACGTCCTGCGAAAAAAAAAATCATCTTTATAGTACTCATATTCTATGGAATCGGGCATTTTGAAAATCTCTTGCTGAAAAGTTCGGAACGAAAAAACGAAAAAAACGAACTTTATTGGAGGTTTAACTGCTCTTTTAAGCAATTTTTTTTAAAAAGGTTGTCAGGGCGTAATGTGGTTAAATGTTAAATGTGGGTATTTAGTTTTCATGAAAAATATACAGTTTTCTGGCGATAAACACTTATAAACAAAACAAACCAGTACATTGAGGCCTCTCACGAGGGAATATTCAGGAGGAGCCGATGGGCTCTGCTCTACTAAATAACTGTTCTTGTACGATTTTTTTTCCTGGGAAAGGGATTTTGCATTGTTGACAATCTCACGAGCCAATGTGGCGCCCTTCCTTCTTTAAAATAATTTTGTTTCTGGCAAACGTTTTTAAAGTCAAAAAAGGTTTATATAACGTTTTTATGGTCAAAAACGGCTTATATTTTTTTAGTTTGAAAATAAATCTTTTATTTTCCTGGAAAAAATTCTTAGAAAGTATTCCTTGCCTGGAGAGTTCTTTTCTCTTTTTTCCTACTCGCTTGCAAYCAGTTGTGATCTACAGCTGGCTGGGACATAAGAACAGATATATTTGTCCCAGGAACCCGTCGGCTCCTCCTCAACATTGCCACCATTAATCCATATACGCACAGAATTTACACACTCGCATCAATTATAACAGTGTGTCTCTTTTGGTGTTCGGCCAGGGCAAAGTGATTTTAATCCGGTTAATGAATAATGTTCCTGGCGAGACAGCAGTGGCTGGTACAACAAGGACAGCGGTAATAAATTCAGCAACAACCGCTTGAGTAACGATCATTTGGATGACTTTCGTAAAATCAAGTGCTTTTTAGTGTCTAAGACGACATTTCAGTGTATATTTCAGATAAGTAAAACTTTACAATTTATTATCGACTATCTTATGTTGGATAAATTAAGCAATTTTTGGAAGTTATATAGGTCATAATTTCAGTTCTAGCGCCCTTGGTTATACCATGCATAAAATGAGAATCACCCAAAGAAAAAAAATAGATAAATAATTAATAAATAATTCAGGAAAATACCAATATTACCAGA